TAGAATCCTACTAGTAACTCCACCTTTTTCTTCTCAATACGTCTCGCGAAAGAAACTGAGAAGTGTGTTTGGAGAATAATTATTTCTGATTTAGGAACAGGCCAAAGAGCCTAACAACGGGAAAGGCTACCCAAATACAAGCCCATTAAAGAATGAATGATAAAGCTGCAGAAGCAGACAGTCATCTAGCTGTTGGGAAGTCTGGCAAAGCTAACATAATCTTATATGAGTAGTATAGCCAGGAAGGCATTCCTTGCACATACTCACTTTATTCCTTGAAGGATTTCAGAATTTTGTCCAGGTTCTTGTTTTCCAAATTGATTGCATGGGAAGCCTAGGATGACCAGTCGGTCAATTCCCAGTGAAGTTTGTAGTGCATTCAGTTCTGTTAGATAGGGCAATAGGATACTTCATCAATAGGACTGTACTTTGAACATCCTATCAGGCAACGAACATTTTATTAAACATTGCTGAACATTCTGTAAGGCATTCCACATAGCCCCAATCCTTGCCTTCTTAATTTGAGAACAGCTTTTTTTTAAATCACAGCACAAGGCCTAGCAGCTTTTTTTTTTCTCCTTGACCTGGCAAATATTCATGATGGCTGCAAAGTGGAGGGCTAAAAATGGCAGTAAATAGATGATCCGTCCCTTTCTTGTTCTTTCTCAAGGAACAAAACTTTAAAAACGGTTATCTGACCATCTTAAGGAACAAGCAACAAAACTTCCTGTTGGAGGTCGGGGGAATAGGCTGGTTCTGCACCACAGTGGGCCAATGACTGTACTATGGAGGAAATCCACAGCACCAAGAAGAGTAATGAGATAGGAGTTCCTCTTGCTGATAAATTACATATCTGCTGCTCCAGAGAAAACACCATGATGAAAATATCTTTGTAGCCTTTTCTTTGGAGCAAAACCTGAACCAGGAGACGAATGACTTGGTTCCCAAGTCCTGGATTGAAGGAATGACAGGGGACACCATTGATCGGAGATCAGGACAACCGCCCTTGTGGCATGGCATAAACTGGGACAAGCCATGACTTTTAATATATAAGATATGCTCCTAAACCTTAGATAGCTTAATACAGTAGAGCTTCATTGCCATGTTTTTCCTTCACAGTACTCCATGAAATGTAATTTTGTGGAAATCTTGAAAAGAGCCATCGTTTATCTCACTATGTATCACAACTTAGTGCTGCCAGTAAAAGTACGTGGATATATCAAAGTAGTTACCAGAAGTCAAATTCAACTTGAGGAAGCCTTTATTCTAATTCTCAGCCTTCAATGACTGGTCAATTCTGGATTATGGGATGGGATTATTAAATACTTTTGAGCATTTCCATTTCCATCTGGGTGCAGATACAAAGTTGCTGGAGTTTTGCCTAGAAGTCCAACACCTGCTTACTTTAGCAACAGCTTGTGTTAGAGTGTGCTTCTCTTCCTAGCTCAGGTTCTTACCAAGATATTGTCCTGTGAGTCCTCAGTAAGTGGCCACATTTACAAAGAGGATATACTTCCCCGCATAATTCCGGAAGGGGATGTATTCACCAGATAAGGAGAGAGCCCCATAATCATGGGCTGATCCTTGAACTGAGTCATAGCAATCCACCTGGAAGACAGTACAAGACATAATAGTCCTACTTCCATGAGCTCTAATATGTGCTCCAGATTCCCACACCAACTCCAGTTCAATTTGTCTATAACCCAAGCTCCAGCCACTAAAATGGAACTGGCTGTTCAATTTCATCAGAAGCTTTCATCAGTAGGAAAAGCATGAAATGTATTGAAGTAACACCTCAATATATGTTTACAATAATACTTGCTAAGATCTTTTCCTTGCAATACAGTGAATATGTAAAGGGCAAGAAACACAACCTAGAAGAAAATTAGTGGCTATAAGGAACATTTCAACTTAAAGGATGAAGAAAAAGGCTACACCTTCTGAACGTCTCTCTTCCATGGAACTACTTCAAGAAGTTTGGAGGATGGCAGAAATCTCTCCTGTACTAAGTCAGAGGTTTAGAATAACAGAATAACAGAGTTGGAAGGAACCTTGGAGGTCTTCTAGTCCAACCTCTTACTCAGGCAGGAAACCCTATACCAGGGGTAGGCAACCTTGGCTCTTTTATGACTCGTGGACTTCAACTCCCAGAATTTCTGAGCCAGCATAGCATAGCTGGCTCAGGAATTCTGGGAGTTGAAGTCCACGAGTCATAAAAGAGCCAAGGTTGCCTACCCCTGCCCTATACCATTTCAGACAAATGGTTGTCCAATCTCTTCTTAAAAATGTCCAATGTTGGAACATTCATGATGTCATGTTTAACCTACTTACATCAAAAATAGCTACATCAGACAAATTTTTTGATCCTTTTTGTTTGCATGAATTGTTCCTGAACAACAGAAATTAAGTAACAGGAATTACTTAAACAAGTTCATATTTATCCCTCAGCTATATATGTAGGATCCATGGAAAGAAAAAAGAAAAGAAGAAAAGAAGAAAAGAAGAAAAGAAGAAAAGAAGAAAAGAAGAAAAGAAGAAAAGAAGAAAAGAAGAAAAGAAAAGAAAATCTTACATTAGCATTCTTCTACTAGAGGAAAGTGTTAAATCATAACTCGCAACCATAATTCCCAGAAACCACTGTCATTATGAGCGCTGAGGTCCAGTGTATTCACAGTGTGTCAAATTGAGAGCAAGCTGTTCTGTCTTTAATAAACTCAACCTTTGAAGCATAGCTGCCTGCTTCATGTAATTAGAGCTAAATGTAAATTATAGGTTTGGAAGGCCAGTAGAAATAATAGGAGAACTTTTTTTTTTTTTTTTTGGTCTTGCTTCCTTTCTAGTGGCATAGTGGCATTTTGTTCCCAGTAAAACGTTTCCTTTGACAAAGTGTACAGCAACCATGCACACAAATCCTTGTTCGGTTTCACGCACTTTTTTGTTTTCCTTTTACCAAATTGGCAAATTGTGTAAAAATGGTCCAAAACGAATGACTAATTTGCAAATTGAGATACCAAAAACGCTGGAACTGATACACTCTTATATTTTTCAACGTTGTAAAAAGCTGCTTGAAAAGGTAAAAGGTGAAGCCTCTTCACCAGCATGGCATACTGTACATTTTGAAGTTTGGGCTGTTGGGAAGATATTAAAGCCTCTGGGAGACTTCTACGGGGACTACATGTTCAACTTCAGAGGAATTTCATATCTTAAAGAAATATATTAATAATATGAAAAAGCAGAGGCTTTGGATTATTCCAGTTATTTACATTAAAAAAAAAATAAAAAAATTAATGCATGCAGGACAAACAGCATATATCAGTGATGGCGAACCTTTTAGAGACCGAGTGCCCAAACTGCAACCCAAAACCTACTTATGCATCGTTGGGTGCCAGGTGGGTGTGGCCCATTGGGTGGGTGTGGCCCATTGGGTGGGTGTGGCCCATTGGGTGGATGTGGCCCATTGGGTGGGCGTGACTGCGGTGGTAACGGCAGACTGGGTGGGACTAAAAAGTTCAATCAATCAATTCCAACTTTGCAAGATCTTTTTTTTTCCCACGAGAAGTTGAAATTGACTGATTGATTGAACCTTTTTTTTTTTTTGCACAAGGCAGCGGAGGCCTAAAGTGAAAAGGTTTTATAAAACCCAGCTGAAGGCCTAGGACTGGGGCGATGGCGCACGTGCCCACAGAGAGGACTCTGAGTGCCGCCTCTGGCACCCGTGCTATAGTTTCGCCACCACTGGCATATATGTTTAATTCAGTTTTAATAAATAAGGATTAATATTATAAGACTGCTTAACATGCTAAGCTGAAATATTAATTTAACCTGTAGTCCCTTATTATGTACAATGCTTGGACCAATGTATGCAATATTCCATGTCATCTAGACCTAACATTGATGCATCTGGCATGTCCAGAACTAGACTTTGTGACCTATTTAAAAAACTAGATTACAGAGTCTGGTTTCTACACTTCTAAAATGGTATCCATTTGGCGGCCAATGTCATTGCAAATAGGAAGCTTCAGTTAAAGAATAACTTGACAACATTCACTGTCTCTTTACTCAGCCTTCATAGCTTAACAACCAATGCACCAGTCGATAAATCACACAAATTAAGAAATTCTAAATCTACACTCTTTCTAGTCTCTTGTTCAGAATATTTTATTTCAGTTTTATTTAATTTAGCAAACTTTTCCATTTGGGAGGGAGACGTAGGCATCTGTCACTGACTAGCAAACTGAACTACTGTTAAGTTGCCAAATTTCAAAGTTTCAACTTCATACCTTGACCTAATTGTTTTTAGAGAAAGAAAAGGCACAGGTGAGATAGTATCAAAAAAGTAAGATTTCCTATTTTACTCTAGCAAAGATGCCAACAAGAATCCTTGATGGAAGATAGAATTTCATTCCCACTGTGACACTGTTCTCTCTCTCTCTCTCTCTCTCTCTCTCTCTCTCTCTCTCTCTCTCTCTCTCTCTCTCTCTCTCTCTCTCTCTCTCTCTCTCCCTCTCCCTCTCCCTCTCCCTCTCTTTCTTTCTCTTCAAACAATGTAAGGCAATATGGATTTTGCTTTGATTGGGCTAAAATAAAACATGTAGGAAAAAGTCCGGAGTGGTAAATTCCCAGGATTCTATGTGAACTCTTTCCTTCCCCCTGCAGATCAATGGAAATTTGCAAATCAGACTCAGAAAAAAATAATTTTAAAAATGTTAGTTAACCTAAGTATAAAAAAGTCTTTAAAAAATACAATTGCCCCCAATCCCAATCATATTTTTGTATAGACATCATAATTATTTTCCTTTGAATTTCTGGTTTCTATTTTGTCTTTGAGTGTTTATTTGCAAACCTAGGAAATCTTAATTATGACCAGCATAGTTTTCCTCAGTATGAACAGTGAGCCTATTACAAAGCCACAGCCTACTTTCCTATATATGGTGCTCAAGATGTTAAAAATAGAGTTGATAACCGCATTCTTCTTTAAATAGAGCACCCAGTACTCCAGAATACACAAATAGGCTAAAGTAGATTGTTCCTAAAACATTTAAGGAATCAGTAAACACTAGAAGATCCTACCTTGGCTCGATCTGGGATCGGTTGAGCATGCAAGCAGGATCTTGCTTCATCATGTTGATGAGATAACTGAAGTCCTGTCAAAATCTGATTCAGAACCAAAGTAATAAGGAAATTTTGTAGCAAATCATATACATATCAAGAGCAATTATAATGGATTAGCATTTCCTGTGTGTGAGAAGGTGTATATTACTCATATTACCTCTAAAGTCCATACCATCACAGTTCTAGACATGTTTACTCATTTGTTTTCCTGACTAATGGCTGTAAGAAATTGAAATTTATGATCAACAGATTATGGAACTAAATTCAGTTGAGACTCTCAGTATTTACTCCCAGCTGAGCATAGGTGGAACTCTAGCATAAATTGCACAGTCATCTTTGTACACTCAGGGGTAATGTCATTAATGTATATCATATGTACATCCACCCAACTTTGGTGCCATCCAGAGAGGCAGATTGGTAGAAATTTGGAAAAGTACCCGGAAAATTGCAATTAGGCCCACAATTCTTCTTCTTCTGACTCTTCTTTATGAAATGGTACCTTGATTTTTTTTTGTAAAAAAAAAACAAGAAACAAAAAACGAAAACAAGTATAACGATACAGGCTCAAATTATCAGAAGAAGGAAACCGTGTTATACAGGTAGCCCTTGACTTACAACAGCTCATTTAGTGATCTTTCAAAGTTACAGTGGCATTGAAAAAAGTGACATATGACCATTTTTCATGCTTACAACTGTTGCAGCATCCTCATGGTCACACGATCAGAATTCGGACATTTGACAATTGAGTCATATTTATGACAGTTGCAGTGTCCCAGGGTCATGTGTACCTTTGGCACCTTCTTACAAGCTAAGTCAATGGGGAAGCCAGATTCACTTAACCACAATGTTATTAACCTAACAATTGTAGTGTTTCACTTAACAACTGTGGCGGGAAAGGTCGTAAAATGTTTAGCTTAGCAACAGAAATTGTGGTCGTAAGTCAAGGACTATCTGTATGTGTAAGGCTGTGTAATAGATTTGGAAAGGTTTCCAATTATATTCCAGAGAAGTAGTAATCATGTTTTCAGCCCAATCCTAAGTACCTGAAGCAACTGAAAAAATTCCAGGTTATTCAGAAAAAGTATGCTGTAACAAACATGTCATCCTTGAAGGTGCCACACAACTTTTAAGATGTTAATTCTATTCTCACATAAATTTTACTACTTAAAAGTGCTGCCAGGATCTTATTAAAGAATGGTTTCCACTATGATTAAATACATGTTTATGTAGTCTGAGAACGCAATATTTTACCTGCCAGCTTATGTACTCTGAGAAAATAATATTTCACCTCCCAGAAGGCTGGCTGAGGAATTCTGGGAGTTGAAGTCTGCACATATTAAAGTTACTGAGTTCGAGAAACACTACCGTAGTTTAAATGATAGATTGGCCATTAAACTTCCTGTGTCAGCATTGGCAGTTTTCACTGCTCTTCTGACCTCAGCACAGCAGCAATGTTTGCCAGAGTTTGCCTGCGCAAATACACAGTTCTTGGTGTAAACAAATCTCTTAAGGATGATCTTGTCCACTATGCTAAATACAGGTGACCACGTAGAAGAGTTGTTCTACCATATTTGTTTTACTAATTGCAGCACGCTCCTGGAACAGTTTTCTTTCTCCTCTTTGCGCGGGTTAATATCTGCCACAGCTCTGTAGTTCCGAGTTCCTTTCTTATTTCCAGGGTTTCCCTTTCTCTACTTGGACAGGTAAGGGCAAAGCCATCATCCTTAATATCATGTTGAATTGTACTTTTGAAAGAAAAATAACTTCATTTATTTCTCAGCCACCCTGCAGGGTAGAGAGCTAGCCTTTCATATCACACAAAAGTGTACTTGCAACCCAGGTTTACCTGGTGTCCTGCCCAGCAGCATCAGCAGAGCCCTAATCCTAGATGAAATTTACAAGATTGCATTTATTTAATCAGGCTGGAAAATGTGCACATATCTTCCTTCTTGTTGAATCAAGCTTGCCGAGGCCGCAAATTGCTTTTATTGTAGCCAACAGATAAAATCTCAGGGGTGAAAGGACTGTACACTAAACTATCGCTAGGCAAACACCCTCATTATCTTTCACTGGTTATTGGGGAGCTGCTGGTTCATGCTGGGAGAAATACCTTCTTTATCCTTTGATGTAGTCTGACAGTAGAGGTTCAAGCATGGGTGTTATTGTAATAAATAAATGCCAACCCCCCAATACGCTTTGTTACAATATACAATACAATAACAATAAACTCTGCTGAAGATGTTACCTAGCCTGGTAATGAAACGTTCAGAAACCAACCCACAAGCTCGGAGAATGAACCTTCACCCTCATCCTACATCCCAGCTACAGATATTTGCCACTATTACAGACAATAACAATGCTCAAATAAAATAATGCCAGTTGACTAAACTAAATTGGGATTCATTTCAATCATTCTCTTTCTAATAGTGTGGCTCTGGAGGAGTGGATTTGGCCCTCATTTAGCCAGTTTGGATTGACTGCTAGTAGCTATAGATTCCTAAGATGTCTGCATCATTACTCTGTCACAAATACTTTAAGACCTCTGGGTCTGCAGGCAAACACACTGTCTGATGTAGAATCAGAAAGCATCACCTGTCTGCTCTGATGACAGCCTTCTTCCACACAGTTCAGGCACCTCCCTCCTTGAAACAGTGCTACAAGGTCTTACCTCCTGTTGTTCCTGTCCCAGGTTGGGCTGAAATAAACCAGCCAAGAGCAAGGAGAGGATCCAGGCTCCTTTCAGTCTGCCCTTCATGGTTGGAGAGCAAGAGGGACAGGGCTCCTGCACCCCTGCCTGGCCTCGCTTCCACAAAAATCTGTGTTGCTGCTTGCTGTAGATGCTCTTTGTGTTTCTCTCTCTTTCTCTCTGTGTCAACACATTACCACCTTCCAGCTCAACAGCTAGTATAAAAAGGATGAAGCTAAATACTGGTAGCCAATCATAAAGCAGCAGGGATGAGGGCTGGCCCTTTTGATATTAACCATGTGGTTTCTGGCTTCAGCATTCCTCAAAGTCTGAGGGGACAAATGCTGTCACCTGAATATGCACCACTGAACTCAGTGGAACGGTTATTGAAGAGAAATGTACAGAGCTTCACGAGTAATGTATTTATTCTCACGCTTCTTTTATTAAAAATCAGGTGTGTATTTAGGTACACTATCTGTATCCTGTATTCCCTAATGAGGCTTGGCTGCGGCAATGGGAACTGTAGTCCAAAATGTCCAAAAAAGATTAAGTTTGGGGAAGGAGGGGACTTTGTTTAGAGCCAATCAGATGTAATAGATATCGGAGCTGTTCGGAGGAAACCCGGGTAAAAGTCTCCTTCAGCGTGGAAGTTCACTTGATGACTTTGGGCTATTCTTTTCATCCCAACCTACCTCTCAGGATTGTTGTTATAAAGAAATTTGGTGCAGGAATGTTATATTTGTTGCCTTGGGGCAGGAAATAATTCTAATAAACAAAAAAAGAACTAGATCAATTCATAGCATTTACATTTAAATTGCCATTTCAAGAGGCATATTTCACAAAAACCAATCCTTAGAAATCCTTTACGCATGACTAATAGATTTCCTATCAAATTCTACAATAGTCCAGGATAACACTGTGAATTCTAGCCAATTCAAGCTTATCGTACAGTCTAGTGATCAGGACCACCAGAGATCTTTTTTCCGTTATAAAATTAAGGAATCATAGAATTGGAAGAGATCATTGAGTCCAACCTCTCAAAAATCCAAATTACAAGAAATGCTCACCGTCTTACTTCGGGTTTTTTTAACTTTAAAATTCAAATAGAATGTGCCTTCCTGTATCTTAAAACTATTGTTCTCCGTCCTGCTCTCTGGAACGAAAGAGAACAGGTTTTGACTTATTTTTGAGTGACATTTTGTCAGATCTAACAATCTCTTGAGGACATTGGCTCACTGGGCCTCATGGAAACCTTTGGAGGAACACAAAAATAGGCCAGGATGATTTATCATGCTATTCATAGATGCAGAAGTAAAACAAACACCTGTTTGTCACATACACCCAAAGCTTGGGATGAAGGTTTAATCTCCATCCCTCCTTGTGATCTTGCTTAATATCCCTACCTCTGTTTTGCTTTGATCAATATGGAATAAATTATCTTAACAAACATTATGATGGAGAGAAGGATATAATTTAATTTATTACTTTCTCAGTTTTGAGTACATAATTTTTCACATTTATCCAATAGATTAGAAGAAAAACTATTTCTCTGTTTCTCATGAACAGGACTTAACAATGACAATAGAACAACTCCTGGAAAAAAAATGCAGTGGAGATTTCCAGGGAAGCAATGGTGAACTGAAGACGATACCATTGAGAGCAGAGCTGATGACCACTGTGGAATGAAGAATCAGTGAATGGACTGGCTTCTTGGGAATTCTTCTCTGGACAAGAGAGATTCAGGATGGCCCACATGTATTCCATGCAGTAGCTCCCTGTGAAAATACTGCAAGATAGTGATTTAAGGGCCTGGGAGCTGAGGGATGACCATCTTGCCCCAAGCCCCATCTGTGGTGCTTTTATGGATACAGGATTCACATGCTTCCTTTTTTAATCACTTCTAGAAATTGCTTGCTAACTGGTTTTTGGATATTAGGAACTTTCAGAATGGCAAGCTTCATTACACTCTGTGAGTCTCTTTCTTAGTGAAAGAAGTTTTATGCAAGTTCATGGACTTAAAAAAAATCTTAGTTTGGAATAAATGGAAAAGGGGTGATTAGAGTGCTGATTTTGGAAAGTTATAAACAAACTGCGGGGCCAAATGAATTTGAAATAAGATTTTAAAATTAATTAAAATAATTCTTTGTGTGGAAAAGTGATAGTTTAGAATTTTATTGAAAAAATAAAGATTTTGAAATTGTGTAAGAACTTTCCTGTGAGAAAATGCTGTTCTTAGGAAAACAAAAACTTGATAAGATGGGACTTTGAAGGTTGTACACTAGTGGGAACAGTCAGAAATAAAGATTACAAGTAAAGGAAAAGAGGCCCACCACTACACAATAAGCCACAATATAATTTTGAATGAATTTAAGGATATATGGGAAAATGCACTCAGATATTACTCTTAAAGATTGTTTGCTTTCATAAAACTGGACATAAAAGAAGTTATAGAAGATAAACACATTTTATTGGAGAAGACTGATTTAAATGTGAATTTAAAAATGACAGGTTACAAGAATAATGTAGATAAATAAGATACATTAAATATATAAATGAAATTGGCTGATTTTTTAAAAAATTAAAAGGAATATATGAATAAGCCAGAAGAGTGACTGGGATAGCTTTCTTATTGTGGATTTACAAAAGAGATATCTCAAAGCTTTGAAGGGTATTTTGGGAAGAGATGAAGAAAAATAAATGAAAAGAAATCAAAAGCTGTTATTTTCACAACAATTAAGTGAATTGTTCTATTAAGTACTAAAATGCTTTGGCAGAAGCAGAAGCCAATGAAATGAATACTTTTCTTTCCCAAATTCCCTACTTGATAAACCTGATCTACTTCCCCCTGCCCCCCTCCAAAATTGGCAGGGACTTGTAAGTGGATGGATTTATTTACTGTAGATATATTCTAATAAACCAGTCTGTGTGCCAAGGACTTTTCTGTGTTTCAGTGATGAAAAAGACCAAATTTGGCTGGAAGATTGATTTTTTCATGTCATCTTTCTTAATTTTTTTTTTTATTTCCAGGATCATTTTTTTTGAATTTAAAATAAGAATTTTGGTTATGTCCATGCATATATTTATACAATGTTCCAGTCTGGGAAGGTTTTAGAAGAAAATATATCACTTTTCAAACTTTATTATTGCACTCCCTATCTGCCATTGTCACTGACGCAACATTTAATACAACTAAAAAAAACCTAAAAATTTAGTTAACTTTGAATTAACTAAAATCGTAGAATCATAGAACTGGAAGAGTTCATAGAATTTTGCTCTGTGGGATTGTTTTCCAGACATTCCTATAATTTAAATCCATTATTCTGCCCTCTGAGAGGATTTAAAATACGTTTTGTAGCATTGTTTGTAGCATTGTTTCAAGTAGTTGGGGACTAGTATCCTATTCTCCTTGGTCTTTATTCTCAAAGCTAAACATTCTGTTCACTTTCTCTTTGTTGAACTCCTGTTCATGTTCTTTGCCCTTCTCTGAATCCTTTCATTTATCTGAAACCACAGAAAAAATTGGTCTCTCTTAGCAACCATGAATTCTAGCAAAAATGACAGACTGATGAACGCTCCAGGCATGCTGAAAAATAGCAAGTGTCTACTTGCAGGCAGAGCAAATGAGTGGGAGGTAATTAACTCTGTCCCTATATTGCCTTTAATATGCAGAAAACCTACTTGTAGTGGGCAGTTCTGCTAGCCTGATCAACTTTACCATAATTAAATATTGTGAAAGAATAGGCCTTAATATAGGACTATAGGAATTTCCTGTAATTTCAGTGATATTTTCTTCATGTGTGCAAATGGCTATGTTTGCATGAGACACTAAGCACAGACTATCCACCATGTTCTATCTATCCCAACATGTTGTTCAGACCCAGCCAGTGTGATTAGGTAATAACAAAATAACAGAGTTGGAAGAGACCTTGGAGGCCTTCTAGTTCAACCCCCTGCTCAAACAGGAGACCCTATACCAGTGGTGGCGAACCTATGGCATGCGTGCCAGAGGTGGCACTTGGAGCCCTCTCTGTGGGCACATGGGCCATTGCTCCAGCACTGCCTTCCCCCGCAACCCTCTCCTCACCAGCAGCCTGCCTGGAGGAGAGGCTCCCCCAGGCGCGGCCCACGCAGAGCAGTGCAGCCAAGCACATGGCAGCTGGGCAGCAGGGGCAAGACTCCGTCCTCGCACACCATCATGTGCAGATGATGCTGCGGGGTGTGGGCGGAGGGCATGGCCGCCATGGCGCTGCAAGGCTGCCTGGGTGATCTATGGTGAGTAGCCCTGTGAGCGGGTGGAGCAGAGGGCAGAGCGTGGGCGGGCCAGTTTTTGGGCACTCGGTCTCTAAAAGATTCGCCATCACTGCCCTATATCATTTCTGTACAATCTCTTCTTGAAAGCCTCCAGTGTTGGAGCACCCACAACTTCTGAAGGCAAGTTGTCCCATTGGTTGATTGTTCTTACTGTCAGGAAATTTTTCCTTACTTCTAGGTTGCTTCTCTTCTTGATTAGTTTCTTGTTTTGCCTTCTGATGCTTTGGAAAATAGTTTGATCCCTTCTTTTTTATGGCACTGTCTTCTTTTTACACTGTGGTGACCAAACTTGAATGCAGTATTCCAAGTGTGGTCTTACCAAGGCATTATAGAGCGGTAGTATCATTTCTTGTGATCTTGACGCCTAGAGAGCTGTTGGAGGGCCAGCCGAACCGAATCCGCTCGAACACAGGTAAGGATACATGTTAGATCCTACCTAGTGGCGATGAGAGTGGCTAGGACTAACTACTATTCCTCACTCATCGCGTCATCAGATAGTCGCCCGGCCGCCCTCTTCAGGGTGACCCGCTCCCTCCTTCAATTGAGGGGGGGGGATCC